GCTTGAAATTGGGTTTGTTGGCAGGGAGTTTTCTTCCATTTATAAGGAGAAACTCTGTAAAAATTTTTCTAAAATCTTTTCCAATATTTCACTATAGCCCAAAATTTCTTCAAATTTTTGCATTTTCATTCAAAAAGGGCCAATTTGTTCCAACCTCAAGTGTTTAATTCTTCCAATTGTTGAAATGTTATATGTATTTTGGAAGGTTTAGTCCTCATTTAACTTGGAAATGTTTATTACGCAATTAGAATTTTTACATTTTAGAAAGTATATTTGGTAAAATGAGGAAAATTATGCCTATAATTTTACATGTTTAATGAGATTTCTTTTCTTTACTTAATTTTGTAAGTAAGTGATTGACATAGTTGATAAAAGGTTATACTCCTCCTTTGATTAGTCTTATATATTTTCTAAGAGGGAATATCTATTTATTGTCCTTCATTTCTAAAAAAAAAATAAAAAAATAAAAAAATAAAAATTATTCTACTCCAATGATTCTCGTACCGAGTAACCGGGGGTTGGCATCTACAAATGTCGACATTCGCGTAAAAAGGTATTTGAATTAAGAGTATGCATAGCAACTTGAATAAGTGAAATGTTGAGTAACCGGGGATCTTCACCTAAAAGTGTCGATTTTCGCGTAAAAAGGCATTCTCACTATTTAAGTAAAATTTGTGTGAATAAATCCCTCTTAGTTATAGAAGTTTGAGAAAAAGATGATTATAGGAGGAGGAAAGCTATAAATTGACTATGTGATTTGCTTATTTGTAAAATTAAGTTAGGGTAAGAGATTAAGTTTAACTTGTTGAATTTAGGGTATAATTATCTTTCCTTTACTTGATATTATAAGTATTTAGTGTAAATTGAATAATTGTATAATGATTATTTTCCAAGTCTTGAGGAATTAAATTGGACAAAGTGCATATATTGTTTCACCTCTTGAATCATTGCATTTGATTATGTGTGAATTGCTTGAGGACAAGCAATGATTTAAGTGTGGGGGAGTTTGATAAGTGACTAATTTACGTAATAATTGTATGACATTTTATATTATTTTTAGTCACTTTGGTTATATTATTGGAAGAATATGAATCATTTTGGCTATAATTGGTGAAAAATGCTTTTAAGTGATTAAATGAGGTTTTTATCACTTTTTACTTGGATTTTGTGTATTTTGACAGTTTTGACACATTTTCGTATTTCGGCTATAACTTGAGTTACAATGATCGGATTGGGATGACTCTTGAACCCATTTGAAGATAAGAGATAGATCTACAACTTTGGTGAAGACATCTAAATCCAGTTTGAAGGTTTTCCAGGTCAAAATGCCGAATTACAATAGCAAATTTCTACTGGTCGAAGCTGGAACAGGGCAATGAGCAGGCAAGGGTATTTCAGTCATATCTCAGCCTACACAGATCCAAATGAGGTGATTCTTGATGCATTAGAAAGATAACTCAAAAGGCTACAACTTTTGTGTTTTAGACATGAGCTGGTTCAGCCTCTAACATCAAGAAAAGATTGGTTGAAGTTGGGCCAAAAACAGAGCAAGTGATCCACACTCGGATCCACTATTCATCTGAACCCTCGGTTGTTTCTGGGTTAGTGGATCCGAGGTACTGTAGCAGCTCGGATCACTGGTCAGAAAAGGCTGCTCTGTACGCGTAAAACTCAATTTCACCTCCACCAACTCACATTGGATGCTAGACATGTGAGAAACATTCCCAGCTGTAAAAGGGAGATGTAATCCTCATTTCTTGACCACCTTTCATCATTAAATAGCCAAATGCATTGCAAAAAAAAAAGAAGATTGGGGAGATAGGGAGTTCATAGCAGAAAAGAGAGTGAGCTACGGGAGAAGCTTGAAGTTGCAGAAATGTAGCTCTTTCATCTCCTTAGTGTTAGTTTAGCTTAGTATAGAGTAGTGTAGCTTTTCCATTCTTGTTTATTATCTAGATTAGGATGAAGATGGAGGATGAAGAAGGCAAGGAAGAAAGCTCATGTGACAAGGGTTGTATTCCTTCCAAACTCTTTATCTTTTGTATTTGATTCCAAGTTTAGTTAATATACAAGTTCTGGATTTTGTGTTCATTATGTGTTTCTAAAGTTTATACCTTGGGTTTGGTTGAACTTTCTATAATTGTTAGTGTTTATTATTTGGTTATTTGACTGCTATGATTTGAGCAAGTTATTTAGCACTTTGGCTTCTTAAATCATGATTAATCTGGTACCATTGATTGTGATTATCTAAGGTGTTGTTTCTGCAATGGAAATTGAGATTTAACACTAGTTCAAGAAGTGCTAAACATAGGGAGTACACTCACGAAAGTAGAGGTGCACTTATGTGGTTTTTAGTGATTCATTTCATGTAATTTCATTGAAGAAATGAACTTGTAGCTAATTTCATAACCATGAAAATAGGTATGGATTAGTTATGAGTATAATTGATTCACTACGAAAGTAGGATTCAAATGCATAAGGAAATTACACCATAATTAGCCTAAATGTAGTAATTAATGATCCAAATATAGCACTTGCATGAGTAGTTAGGGATACCACAACCTAAGGAGCTTTTATTTGTTATTTTGTATAATTTGAGTAGGTAAAATTTGTTATATTTCATTGATAGTCTAAATAATAGAGAAGCTTTAGTAGTACCGGTAATTGCAATCTTCCTTGTGGGATCGACCCTTAATACCCTATACTCGCTCACGATTCGTATACTTGCGATAAATCGCGTGTGGGGTATTTAGGAGTTTATAAATGTAAAACTTGATTAGGATGAGCTTAATTGTATATGTATACTCCGCGCACGTCAGTCACTAAGCAGGGAAGTGGCTGTGAGAAGAGAAGAGGGAGCGGAATGCAGAGAAGAGAGGAGGAAGAAGGAGAGAGAGGTGGTAATGGAGGGGAGGGTAGCAGTGAAAGGTGGAGAGTGATGGTGGCAAGTGGTGGGGGGTAGTGATAGAGGAAGAGATAAGGGTGATATTTTATTTTTATTTATTTATTTTGTATATAGAAATAAGATGAGTTTAGTTAGGAGTTTTTATTTAGGGTAAAATACACTTTACCCCCTTGTGGTTTAGCATTTTTTTACATAACTCCTTTGTGGTTTGAAAAACTATATATAACCCCCTTATAATTTGAAATAAAGTATCAAAGTTATGGAATTTTCATTCCATGATGAAGTCAACTAAAATGTCAAAAGTATTTCTTTGTCACGGAATTATATATATATTTTGAAAATCTTAAAGAGGTTATGTGATAAAGTACTAAATCATAAGGGGGTTATGTAGTAAAACATAAAACCATAAGGGATTAAAGTGTCATGCATATTTATTTATATATTTTGGTCATTTCAGCCATTTTAGTTTTTATATAAGGATATTCTCGACATTTCTTTGAGTTATGTTGCAAAGAATCATTTCCGTCACATTGATTTTTTAGTCCAAATTATGAAGAGATTATGTATAAATTTTGAAACTACAGAGAGGTTATATGAAAAATCGCTAAACTATAGGGGGTAAAGTGCATTTTACCCTTTTATTTATTTATTTTGTTTGTAGAAGACTGAAGAGTAGTAGTCTATTTGGCACGGGAACACAAGTCAAATTTGGGATATTAACGCCATTTATATCAAAAGTCTATATTCATACTTGAAAGCTACAACAAAGACTGATACTTACACTTCATTAGCTTTAACGGCCAAAAATCCCAGCCAAAGAAAACTACTGGAGTACTAAGCAAGCCAAAATGCATATGGAGTTCTTCGCGGCAGTGGCCGCCCGGCCCGACATTATAACGACAGACACCATACTCTTGAACCATTTATTTATGGTCCAATCCAAATGTAGAAGCCAACAAAGCAAACCAAAAAATGCAAGACCATCGGGAAAATATAATGCCCCTTTTTTTGAGTGTGCATGGGTGGCTGAGAGCTCTGCTCTTCTCTCTCTCTCTCTCTCTCCCTCTCTTTTTTAATTTATTCCCTTCACTTTTTTGTCCTTTTTCTTTTTTCATCCTTAATAGTTGGTTTTGTTTATATTCTTTTCTTCTCTCTATCTATTGGTCTTTTTTTTCCCCTTTTGTTAAAAGAAATGTTCATTTACTGTGTTTCAAATTTTATATTTTAAATCAGTTACTGTTAACAGAGTTGGGCAAAAGTTACTGACAACGATAGGCGTTGCGTTATTTGGCCAAACTACGGGATCCTTTTTGTAATATGGACAAACCTTAAGGGAGATAAATGTAATTAACACTTGCTAAAAGACTAAAGGTTTTGGGGTTATATTTCATTGAGGAAAATAATACAAGTTAATAGTGGGCTGCCTTATCAGCCAATTAGAAAAAAGATTGCCCTGTGTAAGAATCATTAATACAATGAGAAAATATTCAAAAGAAAGAGATTTTCCTTAAACATGGAAATAAGAGAGGATGCTTATTGAAGATATAAAGAAAGTAAAAGATGATATTGTGAGTGTCCCTTCAAATTGTAAAGAACTTTTTAATTTATAAAAAGAGAAATTAGCTCTTAGTTCTATAAAAGGGGGAAACAAATATTGTGAGAGGCTCTTCAAATTTAAAGAATATTTAAATTTATAAAGAGTGAAATTACCCTTTTATTCTATTGAAGGGGGAGATTTGCCTCTTGAGCTACTTGCAAGGTCAAACATGGTCTCCAACATCTTCAATAAAAAAGTGGAATTGCAAATGCTAAGGCAAGTTAGGGCTACGTCTCAACTTTCTACCATTGAATCCTTTTCACCTTCGTATTTCATTTTGACAAATTCATTTTTGGTGCCAACAATTTCTTAAGTTTTTGGTGCTCCTTTTTCTTGCTCGATAACAACTATATGCAACAAATCAGTTAGTTGAGAAAGATGATGCAACGAGTTTTAACAGAGTTACAAAGAAACTCTTTGATGAAGTAGGCACAAATGAGTCTAACTCAGAATACCGTGGGATAGCATTCCACACATTTATTCTCATTCACTCACAAAACACGCCACAATTGTACAATTGCTTGAGATTTCGTACAATTGTGCGATTGTTGTATTTTTTATAGTATATGGTGTAAACCTATATAACTTTTTTGTGCTAATAAATTTTACTCATACATACCATATTAATGCATAAAACACATCTGTCCCTATAAGCGTATATCCACATTGTACAGGTAGTGCACCAATCGCACCTAACACCAACCGGACCTACCCCATTCTGCTCCCACGTACACTGGCAATACACTGATTCAATCGTGCTCCAATGGTATCCCATGGTATTCTAACAGTTTCTTGCCTTTCCTTTTTTTACCTTCTACTTTCCTTTTCAACAAACAAAAGGAGAGAGATTTGCCTTCCCATGGGAAACATACATAAGTGTAACTGTTATTTAGAAACCTGCAGAATATCAAAACATGATTTTGAACATAGGATGCGGGAAATATTTAATGGAGATTGACTATACAATCCTTAGGTCGTTTCTTTTTTCCAAAATCAAAAGGAGAGGGCTTGCCCTTCCCATCGGTACTCTAAACTCGTCGCTCATGTCAAGTGTTTCTGGATCCATCCCTGAAGGGAGAAACCAATGAAATGCATGGACCAATGAAGCAAGGACTAATTGAATTTGCTTCAGAGCTAATGGATATCCGATGCAATTCCTCCTACCTGCACCAAACGGTAAAAGTTCGTAGTGAGTTCCCTTGAGATCCAGATTCTTGCCGAGAAAACGTTCTGGTTTGAAGCTTAAAGGGTCTTCCCAAGTCTTTTGATCTCGTCCAATAGCATATGCATTTACAACCACCAAGCTGTTCTTTGGAATATCATAGTCCGTCACTTTGCAAGATTGCACTGCACAATGAGGCACTAGAAATGGGCTTGGAGGGTGCAATCTCAGTGTTTCTTTTATACAAGCTTGCAAATATGGTAGCTTGGCCAGTTGACTCTCACTTAACAAGCCTGTTCCTCCAATGGCATTTGTGATTTCATCACGAAGTTTTAACATGGCATCCTGATTTTTTGTTAGCTCGGACATCGCCCATCCAAGCGTGGTGCTGACTGAATCAGAAGTAACAAATAGCTCCTGCATATGGATTATACCAAGAGAATGAGCATTTCTGTTTTCTTATATGATTACAAATATAACTCGCAATTTGGGGTTTCATATAACAACTAACATATCAAGATTAAAACGAGCATCAATACAATAACTAATCAAGATTACAACTAACTCAGCATACACGGCGGGATATATAGTGACATAAAATTAGACTAAACTTACAAGTTATTGAGATTTGATTCCATGACTTCTAACTCTTTGAACCTCAATGTTTAACTAACATAATGTAACGTTTGGAACCGAAATGAAATTTCATCATCGGAATTATTTTGTCTCTGATCCTAATTATAATAGATTACTGTAACTAGGTTTTGAAAAAAAAAATCACTTTTACTAGTCCTGCCGACACAAATTATATCACAGTATAAGTGGGAGATAAAAACACAAGTTCTCCCTAACCACACGCTCTGATATCACGTGTTGGGAAGGCCAAGGGGTGATCAAGAGACACAAAGATTTACCCAGTATATTCTTTGTCCATTAGTGAAATTTATCCTAATAGGGGCAATTAAAAAAATAGTAGCTGCAAAAAAAATGAAAATAAGAAGGATATACAGAAAAAAAAAAAAAAGAAAGAAGTTATCAGAAGTTATTTTGTTAGGAAATAGGTAGCTTTAATGAGTCCTCGGGTTGTTTGTCATGCCTATGAGAGCTTTCATGTTGAATGAAGATGCTAAATGAACAAATAGAAAAAATTAGATATGGTATGTGTGTCTTATACATACATACATGCATATATATATATATATATATATATATATATGTATTTATGTATTTTATTATAGTAACCAAGTAATTCTTAGCGAAATGCTTCCTGTGGTTTAAGTTTTACTCAAAAAATTCAAAAAGTTTAGATTTGTTGTTAAGCCAAACATTGCCTATTGTAAGGTGGAAATCTCGAGTTTTGATTTCGTTAGTATTTGTGAGCATGGGAAAGAATCAAATTAACAGTATTTAAACAAAATGAACCAATTGGAAGATTGAGATGTCATACGTTGAAGAGGTTGAAGATTTCACAATCATCAAATGAGTGTCGAATGAGAACATCTAGAAAATCTGCTCCGGATGTACCACAATCCTGCTTCCCTCTTCTCTCATTAACAGTATCAGCCCATAGAGCTTCATTTTTTTCCTTATAATCCCTTGCTTTTCGCTTAGCTCGAAAATCCAAAGCACCAACCAAAGGAAATATGTCAGCCATACTAGGCACAGCAAGCTCAACTAGAGACCTCGAAAATTTCCTCAACTCACCCACGTTATCCTTGAGGTTGATTATATCTTTGGAGATCATGGTATTTGTCAAAATATTGACAATTGTAGCGTATAATACGTCCACAATAGCCACCACCACACCTCCTTTTAAACCCAAAAAATCTAGCATATTTTGGACCTTCTCAGCTCTCAAATTCGAATGTGACTCTAAAGCTCGACAGGAGAAAAGCTCGGTACGTGCAGTGCTACGTAAAAACCTCCATCTTTGGTTACATTCCGCGGATAGTACGATCATAGAACTTTTAACGCCTGGAATCACGTTCGATATACGCAAAGGAAGCCTACCAGATAAAGCCTGGTCGTGTGTCTTGAAAATTTCTCTAGCAGTTGCTGGGGAAGATGCAACTACTATCAATTTTGAGCCTAATCTTAGGGAGATCAGGGGACCGTAAATTTCGGCAAGGTTCGCTAGACATGTATGTGTTTTTTCTCCATCTAGGTCGAGTATGTTGCCTATGATGGGCCATGCACGAGGGCCGGGGGGCAGATGTAAGCTGTTATTAGCTTTGCACCTGCTAAAGGCATGAAGAAGGATGGGCATCATAAAGAGAGTAGCATAGAGAAGATACTGGTTGCTATTCGTGACTTCTAATGCTATTGTATCCATATCTCTTGTCAAATTCTGAATTTTGAGTGTGGTTTTTGTATGTTGTTCTCCTTTTGGATTATATATATAATTGGAATCAGAAATGATGAGGTACCACTACTATTAAATATACCCCACGTGCCAGGGATATTTTACTTGTAGAATTATTTTATTTTATTCCAAGTCAAAATGTTCTCCGGCTTGCTTCTTAGCTGCATCCTTATATATATATATATATATATATATATATAAGAGCAAGGCTGCATCCTTTTACTTGCTGGGTTTCAAATTTTGACTAAATTTCATGTAATCACCTCCCCAAAAATTTATCACATACTAGTGGTTGAGACACACCCGATGTGTTTACAACTATTAAAAAGACATTATAAATGATTAGTATTATTTTTTATTAGAAAGTAGTAGTATAAAATAGTTGATCTGTTTTAGTATTTCAAAGAAGTGGCAGTTTTTTTATAGGAAAGTGGTAGTTATTCAAGAGATGTGGAGTTGTTGTAAAGAGATGGGTAGTTAGATTGATGTAATTATCTTTAGAAATAACGGTAGACTAACCAATACATTAAATAACATAATTTATTTACATCAAACCCCTCCCTCACACTTTAAATATAGGATAATAATTAAGAGAATTTCCTTTTACATTTCAAAATTATGCTTACCTCCGATAGTGACGTACAATTGCTATAATAGTGATGGCCATGGACCCGGAGGCTGGAACGGTTGCTTCTGCAACCGTTCGTGAAGGTTATGTGCATTTTGCACATGGCATAACTCTGTTTGCATACGGTGTAATTTACTTTCAATAACACGTAACTCTGGAACAAAATTTTGTGGGTCCACGCATGTTGTTAAAAACAAGATATAAGATGAAATCTGGACCTTACAATTTTTTTTGACAAGATTGCCAGGAACAGTAACCATCCCTGCCCCTCCTCCGATAGCCATGAGGACAGTGCCACAAGTGCCCGTCCCAGCTCCCGCTTATAGATTAAATAAATATATAATTATAAACAACAATATATATACATATTATACTTATAAACATGTGTGCAAGAATTAAATCAAGATTGTTATTATTATTATTATTATTAGTTTCCATATTGTTTGGTCCTGGTCTCCTAGTTATGTCGGTAGAGGTTTTTAAGTCAAGTCCAATTGTGTAATTGATTCCTTTGCGGTTCGGAAACTATGCTTTAGGAATCTCAGCTATCTATATATACGTGTTGGTCCACGCTCTACGTATATATTGACAGTTAAGAAATTGAGCAATAAAGTCAGTGAATTGCCTCCCTGTGGCTGTGCGTATTTCTTGTTCTTGGCCTGTGCCGCTGTCTTTTGTTGTTTCTGCTGCCTACTCAATTTGAGTTTGTGAGATTTATTTGTTGTTTTTCTGTAGGTAAATTTCCTATAAAGTGGTACAAGAGCTTTGCATGAGATCCTCAAAAATTGAAATATGGATCCACATTATTTACAATATTATCATGTTTTTATCTTTGATGGTGAAAACAATTTGGAGATTTGGAGGTCGATGATGGAGAAGTTTTTAGGGTAATTGAAATTTGGAATATTGTGGAAATATGATACACGGAACCAACAAGAAGTACAGAATTATCAAGTAATGCAGTTACAAAATTAGAGAAAAGTAGACACATAGATGACCTGGCATTTCACTATCTCAATACCAAAGTCGAGTTGCGTGTAGCCAATAAATTCATACATGCAAAGTCGACAAAAGAGGCTTGGACAATTTTAGTGAACTCAAATCAAGGTACTGCTAATGTGAGAAAATTGAGATTTGAGTTGGCCCAAATGAAATCCATGGAGCTAGTTAAAAATTTTATTGGTAGAATTAAAGAAATTGTCAATGATATGGAGTCCAATGGTGAGAATTTGGCAAAAGTTAAAATTATTGAAAAAGTCCTAGATCTCTAACTACCAAATTTCATACCAAGAAGACGGTCCTTGAAGCGACAAAGGACCTTGATACATTGTCACTAGCTGAATTGGAAGATGAATTGCATGCGGATGTATGAGATGCCTTTGAATCAGTAGCCATCAGATATAGAGGAGATGAATTGTGCATCTACAAATCAAAAGGGCCAGAATTTTAGAGTCAGAGGACATAGAGGCAGAGTTAACTTTCATGTCGTGGTAGAGGTAATTATTTGTACCAACCTAGAAATAATTCTAATAGAGGCCAACAAAATAATCAGTAGCAGAATCAATGAAATAATTTTTAGAGACGTAATAGATCCAATATTCAATGTTATAATGTGAAAAAACTGGTCATTATTAGAATAAATGTTAGTCTAATAAAGAAGTGCATGCTACAGTGGCTGAAAATAGTGGTGATAGACAGAAGACTTTGTTGCTTTCTAGTTCTGCAACTGAAGAATCTAAGGACAATGACTAGTTTATTGATTCTGGCTGTAATAGTTATATGTGTGGTAAAAAGGAGATGTTTTCTGATATGGACAAATCTTTTCATACATATGTGAAATTTGAAAATAATGAAAGGGTATCTATTCTTGAAAAAGGGAAAATTAGAATATCTTGCAAGATGGGCTTTCGAATTATATATCTGATATTTTTTATGTGTTTGTATCATAATTTGTTGCATGTGGGACAATTGTTTGAAAAAAGTTATGATCTACATTTTAAATATGGTGATGGCACAATAAGTGATGAAAAATTGGGATTAATTGTCAAGGTAAAAATAAACCGTAGTCATTTGTGACTTCTTTTTCTTAACTATGGTGATTTACCTTACTTTAATTTCATGACTTGTGATGATTCTTAGCTATGGCATATGTGTTTTGGGCATTTGAATTTTGAGAGTTTGAAATTTCTTGCAAGAAAGAAATTAGTTGTTGGGCTGATTCATTGAGGTCCTTTTTCCTTGCATTAGCCCTCGTGAGCCGATTCATTCAGATTTATGCACAGTTGAAATTCCTTCCAATGATGGTAGCAAGTATTTTATTATTTTCATTGATGATTTCAATAGAAATACTTGAGTGTATTTTTTTAGAAATAAATCTGATGCATGTGATGTGTTTAAAAATTTCAAGTTTGCCATGATTATTTGGTAAAAAGTGGTATAAAGCACCAATTGACGGTTAGATACACACCTCATTAGAATGGCGTGGTAGAAAGGAAGAATGAGATTACGATAGACATGGTGAGATCTATGATGCACTCCAAAGATATTTATAAATCCTTTTGGGCAGAAGTAGTGTCTTGTGTTATTTATGTTTTGAATAGATGTGCTACCAGATGCAATTTTAGGAAGACTCCATAGGAGATTTGGACTGGCATGAAATCGGATATTTCTCACTTTAAAGTATTTGGTTGTCTTGCATATGCACATGTTCCAAATCATTTAAGAAAGAAATTGGATGACAAAATAGATAAGTGTATTTTTATTGGTTATAGTCATGAGACTAAGGAGCATAAGTTGTTTCATCCAAACACAAGAAAAGTGATTGTTAGCAGGGATGTAACTTTTGATGAACATGGAACTTGGGATTACTCTAAGAAAGGTCCTGAAACATCGTCAAAGTATCCATCTATTTCTCCAGTTATAGGAGTGAGTTCCAATAAGTAATCAATGGAACAAATTGTGCAGTCTCATGGTGATCCCTCGACTTCAACTATGCAGGTTGAGACATCTAGTCGATCACAGAGAGAACGCTGCATGCCAGCCCGATTCGATGATTATGTTGTTGGTAGAGATGATGATTTATCTGATAAAGATATTATGAATTTTGCTCTTTTGTAGATTATGATCTTGTCTCATTTGAGAAAGTTGTCAAAGATGATCATTGGGTTCATGCAATAGATGAAGAAATTCATGTCATTGACAAAAATGACACATGAAATTTGGCCACTATCCCATCTGAGAAGAAGTGAATTGGGTGTATAAAATCAAATATAAGCCAACAAGAGAGGTGAATCGTTTCAAAGCGAGATTGGTTGTCAAAGGCTATAAGTAGAAGGCAGGTATTGATTATTTTGAATTTTTTGCACTAGTTACCAGACATGATACTCTTCATATGATTGTCTCACTTACTGCCAATGATTATTGAAAAATTTATCAAATGAATGCGAAATCTGCTTTCTTAAATGACTTTCTTGAAGAAGAAGTATATGTTGAGCAGCCTACAAATTATATTAGAAAGGGTTAAGAAGATAAAGTTTATATATTGAAGAAGGCGCTGTATGGGCTGAAACAAACTCCTAGATGTTGGTATACTCGTATTGATAATTATTTTTGTTAAGCATGATTTTTTGAGATGTCCATATGAGCATACTTTATATATCAAATTCAACCTTGGAGAAGATGTTCTTATTGTATGGTTATATGTAGATGACTTAATATTTACAGGCAACAATTCCAAACTAATTTCTGAATTCAGGAAAGCTGTGATCAATCAGTTTGAAATGACAGATTTGGAGTGATGCCTTATTTTTTTAGTATTGAGATTTGTCAACTGCATGGTGAAATTTTTATTTCTCAAAGAAAGTTTGCAGGTTATATTTTGAAGAAATTTAAGATGAATGTGGTTAAACCAATGATGACCCCAGTTAAAGAAAAACTAAAATTGACCAAAGATGGCACTGGTGATTTTGTTGATGCTACTTATTTCAAGAGATTGATAGGGAGCCTTAGGTACTTAACTTTTACAAGACTTGAGATCACTTATGAAGTTAGTTTGATTAGTAGATTCATGTAATCTCATGCCAACCCCACTTGCAAATTGTCAAGAGAATTTTGAGATATGTTCAAAGTACGCAGTCTGACAGTATATTTTACTCATTTTCACATAGTAACAGTCTTGTTGGATATACAAATAGTGATTGGGCTAGTGACGCAATACAAAGGAGGAGCATTTCTGGTTATCATTTTATTTGGGTTCTAGTGTATTTTCGTGGTTTGAAAAAAAAACAGATGGTTGCTTTGTCTATAGGTAAAGCAAAATACATGGCTACTGTGAGTAGTGCTACTCAAGCACTTTGATTGAG